CTGTCTTGGAGGAGTCATTCGTTATTTAACTCAATACCACATTATATCCATGCAATGTTACTTTACCTGGGATGCAATAAGGTAGTGAAAGTTTCGAGTCTTCATTGCGGCGTTTTGAAGTTCTTTGAGGACCACTTTGAGTTTTTTACTTGTCGATATATCCAATATCACGTGATTATATTTATAGGGATGAGTCGTGTGGAAACGGAGGAAAAAGGTAAAGTAATCGTGCTGCTCGACGTCAAATTTTAACAGTTCGGCGAACGTCGTCCATTTCCGACTTTTAAGGTAGTTCAGAAGGTTCTTCAAGTTGTATAAACCTGCGGAGATTAGCATATCTCTCAATTGAAATTTCATTTAAACATAATGCTTACCGTCATTGCTGTCATAAATATAAGTAAAATTTCGCCAACCCTTTTGTCGTATAACGTCGCCAACGGCGGCGGTGATCGGCGGTCTCAAAGCGACTTCAAATCTTCCAGGAGCTTCGGAAAGTGCCCAATTAACGAACGGGATTTCCAACTCGTCAGACAGCGACGAATACGACGGATGTGCGATGCTGTCCCCTGAACCAAGCAGCACAAAAATGCCGTCTTTCAAGATTTGGCAAGCTGAAATAAGCCGGTTCAGTCGTGCCTTTAATCCAAGGTAAGATTACCCAACCGGGTTATGCCCCATCCCTCCATGTTTTCTTCAAGAAGAATCCCTTTCTTGCTGTCGAATCGGAACATCGACGAAGACTGATTGCTGTTTTTCTCCATCGTCGCAAACGTGAACGCACTCATCAGTCCGTCTTCCGTCTCTTCTCGAAAAAGAGCTCCTGAAATAAGTCTAGTTAGAAGAAGTGACGAACATCATATGCCAAGGGTAACTAAAAATTTCATTATGCAAAATTTTGTTTATTCCATTTATTTTTCTCTCTTGGTTGCACCACGTGTCAAGGAAATAGTTTGAGGCGAGTCAATGTGTTCAGCTGCTGTGAAGGACACAGATTTATAACAGATTGTTCATAAGTCGCACAAGACTGGACAAAGCCACAGCAGGACATCATACTTCCTCTCCTCCCATTACTTAACCATCTATCGTTCTGTAATCAATCATTCGGCTCGTTGCATTAATGCCCGGTGAATAAATGATTGGTTAAGAAAATCAGCAGTTATTTTAGAACAGCTCACTTCAAAGTCTACTTAACAACAGTCCATTTGCTCAAAGGCTTGAAGATACCTTTGTGGTAACAATTTTAATTTTTTATAACACAAGTACATAATATGCAGCACCAACTTCTCTCTACTACTCTCTACTACTACAAATGCAGAGCATAAAATTTAGAGTTTATTCTTGGCCAAACCGGACTGGCCCTTTTATAATGTTCCTAGCTCACCAGGGTCATTGTGCGCGCACCTCCTGTAATGTCATTGTTTAACATTTGCCCTTGCCATGACCGATCCGTGCCAATATGCAAAAGAAAGCAATGGTACGTTCAAAGGCATTCCATGCCCGCATGTGATGCAGTCGTGCCTGACCCAAGAATGCAGCTTACCCCACTTCTACAGTAAAATGCCTTTGTCTGCTATAGTCATTATAAAAGAATATATGGTCTGGGATTCTGTCCCACCCTGTCCACATTTAAAACCGAACGACTCGCTACTGAATGGAGATTTATTGTCAAGTTAGGTCAATCAACCAGCTAATCGGGCATATATCAGTGACAAATGTCGCTTTCCGTTCAGGGGAATAACATCAATGGACCAGTCTGGGTATCATTACCTCGGCAAAGTTCAAATGCCTTGACTAATCAAACGACTCCAAGGATATTGCTGTCCTCCATTTCTTGACTCAGGATATCGAGTCAAGCGATTGAAGGAATAAAGCCACCAGCAATTATAGATCCCGAAAAGCAGAAAAACTTTCTTCATGCGGCCTCTACCCTGAGGCGGGAAGAATGGCTCACAGACAAGAGGCTCGGTTGACCCATCTGTGCGATACGCCGCGAGTCGCCTGAGGACGTGGAAAATACCTGTCACCCATTTCAGTGACTGGACGGCTACGAAATCCATAGTTCATCGCATTAACCATACTCCAGACGCAATAACCGTGTGATAATTCTGTCGAGCGGATGACAATACGCATTCAAGCTTTTTCTGGATTTCTGTTTGTCCTGTCAATCAGTCGTCATCTTCTTTTCAGAGCTCAATACAGCGGTATCAGCGCTTTATCATGCTTTCGTGAGGTACTAATACCGACGGTTGCATGACATCTGCCATCCTTCCGTCTCGGTACATACTCAGAGTATTCTGAGTAGTAACCTTCCAGTACGTGTGCACGCTATAAGCGCAATGCAAAATTGATCAACCCCTGATTTTAAGCGCAGAATTGGTGGACATTTCCATGGTAGAGGATTAGAGAGCTTTCATGACTGAGAAAAGCACCTTTCACTATACTTCCCTTGCAACGCGATTTCATTGTTTGCTCGTAGTCCAATTTCCTCGATGATACTGCACTATATAAAGCTATACATAAGGGTGGTACAATGATTCAGACAAGCAGTAAATACGAATTTCCCTTTTGATCGGAATTCGTCAAGGATTTTCAGAAGGCGTTCGAATAGTCTGAATCCAACCTGTGTTAGGTACCCTAAGGAGCCAGGGAGTCGAGAACACTGCTTAGACCTCATCGTCAGGATTTACAAGAATGCAGTGGTTAGTATCGAACTTCACGAAAATACAAGCAAAGTTAAAAATAAAAAATTTCCTCCAATAGGGTACTGCAACATTGCAAAATCATGCACAATTTTCAACGCACTTCATTGGGACTGAGGAGCTGAAACTAAATGATCAGTACTTAAACCATCTGCAGTTTTTCAACGATGCTCTGATCCTCATTAGGTCTCCAGAAAAACTCCAAAGGTGAATGTAAATGCTAACGATGCAAGCATCACGATGGGGCTGAAAATTCATCCGAAAAAGCATGAAATCACGTTCAAGATAAACGTGATTGTCTGTTAAAATCATGGATTCTTGACTCGATACACGCTAAACAACGCCTGTCTGGAAAAGCCCAAAACTAGGTCTAAAAAATCAATAGAAGCGTAAAAATGGCAGGAGGTACTTTTCGAAGACCGGAAATGCCTCTGTCTGAGAAATTTCCTTTTGTTTGAAATGGAAAGCCTCTGCTTAAGGCCTTTGGTGCTTACACGACAAACGCATGGAAGCTAAGCGTTCACAGTAAGCTTGAAAGCTGTTTATAAACGTGCAGACTACACAACGCAGCTTGGAGAGGTGTTTGTCGGGAACAACAACCGGAAATCAGAAAACGAACGAAAGAACATGTTCGTAATAAACAGGAGTCTGCGCTTCATTGCATGTGTGAAGAAATTTAAGTGACAACAGTCATCCCACGTTTCGACAAGAACCGAACATCCTCGAGCGAGTGAACCGGATTCGACCGGATTCCAAGTGATGTAAAACGCCTAGTGAGGAGTCCTCTGAAGCAGTCACGGGATGAGGTGATGACCTATGTTGGGCCAGTGCAAGAATCGTGGATGATAGATATTTGTAACAAAGTTGTGGAGCCATCGTTGCCCAGCAGTTTACCGACAAATGGCAATGATAATGTCGGTAAAATTGATCGTTACTCAACATATACTTCCATTTTAATTTTTTTGAAACAGTACATAATCATAATTAATTGCATAAAAATACTTCTGCATAAAGTAGGTCGACGTTTACCTATGGGAATCTTCTGAGACTGGAGCGAGATTTGGGCAAAAGCAATGCACATCGCTACAATGAACATCTCTGCCAATCAGCTGCAAGCTTTGATCATCCGGTGAGGTACATTCCATTATCGAGTTGTAAACAAGTGACCTAGCAATACCGAAATGCGTCGATCAGCCAGCATTGCTCGAGGACAGTTTACTCATCGCTGCCAAGAAGAGTTAAAGCCATGAGTTGGGCAGCTAAGTCATGGCGCAGAAGTTGATTTGCGGCCGCCAATGACCGGCAGCGACGGAAATGCGGTTCTTCCGAGAACTAGACATAAATCGATCAGCAACGAGGGGGCAGATACGTCTGAGAACGGCTGCAGCGCCTTCATTCAGAAAAGCTGTCTTCACCATTCCTCATTTTCCTCGACATTCCTTCTCAATCTTGACCTTCATGAATTTTTAGGCACTACTATTTGTGCACTGCTTCTATCGATAGACAGCCAATGGTACTCAGAAGCAAATGTAGACATATGCAATGAATAATGTGCTAAAGCGTCTCCAGCAAATCAATACTACAAAGCCAAATCAGAAAACTAATCGCTCACAGTCACTGAAAATCGATGCTTACCCAGCAATAAAAAGTTTCTGTCGCTTTGTAGCAGACTCGGTGATATGTTTTTGTTGCAAGGTCACCTTCTGGTCTTGCGACAAAAGCGTTATTCAATGGAAAATTATAAGCACAATCCAAAATACCACAGACTGCAGTCAGCGATTACCTAAAATCTCACAAATTCTAATATTCAGCTAAAAACGAAACTAGCAATAAAGGCATCATCATCATCTTCCACCGCCGCTGCTCCTTTCGGGTCGCAGAGGCAGATACGTCAGACAGTGCTTCCAACGTTCCGATCTTGTGCCAGAGTCTGAGCTTCGGCAAAAGACAAATGCAGTCTGGAACAGACTCCTTCCATATGT